ATAATGAATATCTTTGTGTTGATGGCTTTTTTTCTTTCTGGATTTTTGGAAGAGATTAATTCTGAGGAATGGATTTACTAGGTGAAAGAGTAAGAACATGTAATAGCTCCTGAGACACATTGCTGAAGTGTTTTCTAAATGACTGTAGCAATTTATAGGGCCAGAAAAAATTTAGAGTGTAGAAGTTTCACCATAAATTAAATTGTATAGAGCATTAACACATTATTAATATTTCCTAATAAAATGGGTTAAAAAGTAATTTTTTAAAATGTACATGTATTTGATTACTGTTAAGGTTGAACTTTTTTTCAGTTTATTTGTTTCTTTGGGTGTGAACTGATTGTTCAGATCTTTTTCCCATTTTTTTACTAAAGTCCTAATATCTTCCTTACCAAGTCATAGATCTTTTTGTAAAAATGAGATAGCTATGAAACTTTTGTCAATCAAATTTTTAATGAAAATAATATTTTAAATAAACTAGGGAAACTCTGTTGAAAAGAATTTGTGTTTCTTTTGTAAAAAAAAAAAGCATTTGCTATGTAAATAATTATATTCTGTTTTGCTGATTTATTCATTTAAAAATTGCTATCTTTAGCTGGACACAGTGGCTCATCCCTGTAATCCCAGCAGCTAGGGAAGCTGAGGTGGGAGGATCACTTGAGGCCAGGAGTTTGAGACTAGCATGGGCAACATAGCAAGATCCCTGCCACTACAAAAAAAAAATAGTTGGGTGTGGTGCACGCACCTGTGGTCCTAGCTACTCAAGAGGCAGGAAGATCATTAGAGCCCAGGAGTTTGAGGCTACAGTAATCTATGATTGCACTACTGTACTCCACCCTGGGTGACACAGTGAGACTTGATCTCTAAAAAAAAAAAAATTTGCTATTTTTTTCTCTTTTAAATAGGCACAGAACCAATGCATAAAAATTGCTATCTTGATGATAGTAATTTTTTTTTCCCAGAGTGAAGCACATCTGGATTGGATAGTGCTTGTAGTCACGGGATGAGGGTGCATCTTCTAGATCCTTCTCAGTGGCAAAGTTTTCCCAGTGTAATCCAAACATACCTGCTGATAGTATCTCTGGACATTACACAGTGCAAGAGTCAAAGACAAAGGGTTTGTCCAGAGGAGAGACCTGCATCCTGAAGGAACTGGGGGCCTCTGGGGCCTGAGGGCTGACTCAGGGAATGAGCTCAGAATGAGGTCACTTGGTCTTCACTCATGTTCCTCCAGCTGCTGACATTTTACCTCTTCAAAGACAGATTCAAATGCTATCCCCATTGCGGAATCAACACCCTCCCCAGCTGCCCCCTCCCCATCTGAAACTTCCTCTCTCACTAGACCTGGAGGACAGGGCTTGGTCTTATTCATTTCTTTGTTTTCACAGTGCACCTGATAGGGACTCGGTTTGGCAAGTCTTTGTTGAATTTGGCTCCATGAACAAACACAAAATGACCTCTCTATATATGATTTCCCTGTAGCTTTTGGTTGGTTTTTTTGTTTCTTTGTTTTGGGTTTTGTTTTGTTTTTGAGACAGGGTCTCTTTCTGTCGCCTGGGCTAGAGTACAGTCTCTCTGTGTCATCGTAGCTCACTTTAGCCTCAAACTCCTGAGTTTAAGCGATCCTCCTGCCTCAGCCTCCTCAGTTGCTGGGACTAAGGTACATGCCATCACACCTGGCTAATTTTTCTATTTTTTGTAGAGACAGGGTCTTGCTCCTGCTCAGGCTGGTCTCGAACTCCTACCTCAAGGGATCCTCCCACCTCTGCCTCCCAGAGTGCTAGGATTACAGGCATGAGCCACCAGGCCTGGTCCCTGTAGCTTTCTTACTGTAACTTCCTTATTGTAGCTTTCGATGCTTTGGATTCCCAGGCCAGTAGGGATCTATGACCGGGACCAGAACATTTAACTAACATTTTTACCTTTCAAGTTGTTTTCCAGAAACAGTGGATTCTTTGCAGGATAACAATGCCAAGACTCACCATTTATCACTAGCTTGTGATTGACTTTTTTGGAAGGACAGTGTCTCAGAGTGTAGTGATGTCATCATAGCTCACTGCAACCTTGAATTCCTGCTGTCCCGAGAACCTAGGACTATAGGTGCATACCACCATGCCTGCTAATTAAAAAAAATATATTTATAGAGATGGAGTCTCACTATGTTTCTTAGGCTGGTCTTGAACTCCTAGTCTCAAGGGATCCTCCTGCCTTGGCCTCCCAAAGTGTTAGATAGGATTACAAGTGTGAGCCACTGAGCCCAGTCTAACTTGTGATTTCTGGATTAGACTCCTGCATGTGTTGATTTCAACACAACCTGCTGCACTGCACATAGCTGCCTTCCTGAACCCCTTATAAAAATCCCTACCCTCAATTGGTTAGAGTGATGGATTTGAGGCAGTTCTCCAGTCTTCCAGCTGATGGTATTCATAATAAATTCCCTTTCTTCCTTGGCATTCCTCCTTGTCTCAGTAACTGGCTTTCTGTGGCAAGTACCCAGACATAAGCCGGAACTCCCTTGCGGGTTCAGTAACAGCTGTACCTCAGTCTCCTTATAGAGTTGTGAAGATTGAATGGAAATTGGACAGTGTTTATTTTATAATCCCTGAGCAGCAAGTATTCTTAGTGTACTAGTCTCTGTTCTAGAAATACATAAGAGATCATCTCTGGGCTTGAGGAATATCTTCTCAGTGGCACACAGCAGGAGAGAATATGAATAGATTTCCAAGAGAGCTTGGAGCCAAGTACTAGGGGACTCTGAGTAGAGAGAGAGGACACATGGGTAGGCCTTGGGGCTTCCCACAGCAATCAACATCTGAGCTGAGTCTTGACAAGTGGCTGGAATTTCAAAAATAGAAATGAGGCAAAAGGGCATTCCAGCTGAGGGAAGGGCATGAGCACAGGTGGAGGGGCAAAATATGGCAAGCATTTGGGAGCTGTCCAGCAGCCCTGGTTGGCTGGGGCTACAGGTCTTTGGGGCTGGAAGGAGTGGTGCGAAATGAAGCCAAAAAAAAAAGACAATGGTGTGGGAGGAGAATGCAAGGGAAAGCCGGGATGAGTGAGCCCTGGTCAGAGATGTGCTTGAAGAGGAGAGGGGGCTGTAGGGAGAGAGGACGGGGAGGGGCAGATTGGCAGGGGAAGAGGCTGTTGTAAGAGTCTGGGCGGGTGGTCAGGCCTGAAGGAGGGCAAGGGTGACAGTGGGGGTGGAAGGACCATGGGAGAACACTTCAGGGTGACACTGCCAGGACCTAATGGGGGGAAGGGCCCCAACAGGAAGAGGTTCAGAGAGCCCTCCTTCCTGACAAGGCCACAGATTTAGCCGCAGTTTATTATTTTATTTCATGAAAGCCCTTGGCACCACTTCTCCACTGCACTCAGCTCAGAGGTGGGCAGCTCCTCTCTGGACTGAGCCCTTTCCAAGGTGGGATGAAAGGGATCTAATCTAAATCAACCAACCTCCCCCTGGCACCTAGCTAGGGGTCTGACGATCAGTAGGAGCTCAGGACTGTCTGTGATTGATAAGGAGAGGATGAGGGGGAAAGTGAGTATGGTTGTTATTTCCTCAGAAAAGCCTTCCCTGGCCTCCAGGTTAGGTTTGGATCAGGTTGCCTGATTTTGCTTTGCCATAGCTCTTTTTTTTTTTTAATTTAATGTTAGCTTTAATGAAATAATGCACAACAGTTTGAAAAGTTTGTTATAATAGACTTTGCTCATAAGCAGGGCTTCCAGAAATAGCTTTTGTCTGCTAAGTCACAACCTCCAAGCTGGCGAAAAGGTCCAGGCAGTCTGGCATTGTCCCGAGTGAAACACCAAGGAAAAGTCAAGATAATTATTGCTTTTAGAATTGAAACGTGGGCTGAGGCCACCACTTCTGGGATGCCTCCTAGCCAGTTTGATGTGTTGGGGGTAGTGGGGGGGAGGCTTGGTGGGGTCTTCCTCAGGCAGGTCCTGGGAGCTGAAAATCCAGCCCTTTCTTTGCCATCAATTATGTGCCAAGGTGCCCACACAGAGGAGCCTGGCCGAGGAAGGATGGACTCTGGGGTGGCTGGGACCCCAGAGGAGCTAGTGGGGTGGCTCTGGCAGCACAGATGGAGCTGATCCTCCACAGGGGCTTGAGCAGGTAGGGCAGGGAGGCTGGGACTCCATGACCTTGTCCTCATGGGGTTAGGAAATAAGCTTTCTGTGGAAGGCAGTGCTGAGTCTCACCAACTGGGTGGACTGGTGGGGCTTCACTGTGTGTCTGACTCTAGGCCCAAACCCTGGGGAATAATCACTGGACCTCCAGTGCCTGTTGCACGTTGGCGTTATACCATAGAGCTCCTTGCTCTTTTTGCTTCTTGACACAACAGTTTTAATGACATGTATTTGTGTGATACTTGATTGACGCCTGTCTTTCCCAATGGGCCGTAAGCACCAGCACTTAGAACAGTGCCTGGCATCTAGTTGGCACTCAAAAATATTTGTAGAGCTACAAAGACAGATCAGTAGTTGCCTGGGACTGAGGATGGGAGGATTGAAAATGGGCACGGGCACATTTTTGTATGTTCAAAAACTGGATTGTGGTAATGGTTGTGTACTGTTTACATATACTAAAAATTATCCAACTGTACACTTACAGTGAGTGAATTTTATGATATATAAGTTATATCTCAATGAAAGTGTTAAAAAATCAAAATCGGATTCAATAAGGGCCAGATCAAAAAACTTTTTGTGGAATGAGAAATTATGTCTTCCTCCACGGCACTGTAAGCTCCGTGAGAAGCGCTATATGCCCTAACTCTAGAAAATTACCGGCCACCTAGCAGGCGCGGAGCAAACGTCTCGGCCTAGAAGCAGGTCATGAATGCAGGAGAGGAAGGAAGCTTCCCGCGGATCCCAACCAGGCAGCTTCCGGGCTGCAGCCCAGCAAGTCGCCGCGAGCCGAGCCGGGCGATTGGCCAGCGGGGAAGCGCGGGCCCGCGGGGGCGGGCTTCAGGGGGCGTGGCCACGCGGGGAGGCGGGGTTCCGGGGACTGGCCGGCGCTTGCGCACACTGCCGCCGCTGTAGCCGAGGTGAGCCGAGGGGACGCGATGGCCGTGCCCGCGTGGATCTCCAAGGTGAGCGCTGGCAGGCCGGCGTGTGGCGGGCAGCTCGGGCGGGCGAGCAGGCCGCGTGCTGGACGGGGCCGAGCGCGCGGGCCGGTGGGGAGGCGGTGGCGCGCGGCCCGCGGGGACAGTTTGGGAGCCCGTCCTGGTCGCCTTTGCGGCGCACTCCGTGGCCGGCGCGCAGTACGTAGGAGCCCTGCCTGGGGACAGCGGCGCCTGAGGCCGGGACGGCGTCAAGGTCAAGGCGGAGGCGCCGGCCCTGCTCCTAGTGACACCCGAGCCACTCCCCACGTCCGCCCGGCCAAAGGCCAGGCCTAGCGCAGAGCCAGGGACGGTCCTGGCAGTCTCCCCCGCCTCTGCCATCCGGCCGCCTTCGAGGCTGGGGCCCTGTTGCCGTGCTGATCGCGCGGACAGGCCCCCAGCACGGCGCAGGCCTCTCCTCCGGTGGCTGGTCGCTTGACTGGGTAACTGCAGGGACCGCGGGCGTTGGGTTTGGCACGATTTATCAGGCGAGGGAATGCCGGGGCCCCTTTTCCTGCCAGATATTTTTCCTCTTGGAGCTCTTTCCAGTCTGACCTCTGGTGCTCTTGTAGCTGTTTCCCTTTCAAAGGACAAAGGGCATCTTACATCTTGGAATTAACCATCCGAACCCTTGGGAGGGGATTAACCAGCAGCGCCTGCCTTCTTCCTTCTATCCGTGGGAATCCTGCGATATAGAGAGCTTTAGCTCTCCTCGGCAGCTCAACCGAAACTGGAAAGGGTTTCAGATTATCTATGCTATTTCTTGGTTTCTCTGAGGAGCTAACCTGTGTCTGTAGACCAACTTGTTCAAGGTCACACAGGAAGTCGGTGCCAGAGTTGGTAGAGGAACCCAAGTGTCTTGTTTCCCAGTTCTCAGTTCTGTTCTGCCTGCTGTCTGGCCAGAGTCCCATAGCACATTATGGGTACAGGGGAAAATAGGCCTAGGGTCTCCTTCCTGTTGCTTTAATCTATCATAAGCAATTTAATTTTTTTCTGTAAAGTTTTTTTTTTTTTTTTTTTTTTGAGACAGAGTCTCACTTTGTTGCCCAGGCTAAGTGAGTGCCGTGCGTCAGCCTAGCTCACAGCAACCTCAAACTCCTGGGCTTGAGTGATCCTTCTGCCTCAGCCCCCCGAGTAGCTGGGACTACAGGCATGCGCCACCATGCCCGGCTAATTTTTTATATATATATCAGTTGGCCAATTAATTTCTTTCTATTTATAGTAGAGACGGGGTCTCGCTCTTGCTCAGGCTGGTTTTGAACTCCTGACCTCGAGCAATCCGCCCTCCTCGGCCTCCCAAGAGCTAGGATTACAGGCGTGAGCCACAGCGCCCGGCCTTCTGTAAAGTTTTATACTACTTTTCTCCTTGGTTTTCAATTTAAGAGAGGGCCAGAGATGCACTGTTATTTAGTCAAAAGATCTCTTTGCTGGAATTTAGGAGTCTCAAATTTAAATCCTGTCAATGCCACCACTGATTAGCTGTGTGACCCTGAACAAACTACTTAACATCTAGAGAATCCTCAGTATGCCTATCTGTGAAATCTGTATGCTTGTGTCATGGAGTTGTTTGAGTAGTAAATAAAATAATGTATGTGGGCTGGGCACAGTAGCTCACGCCTGAGGCAGAGGCAAGAGGATTGCCCAGAGTTCAAGACCAGCCTGGGCAACATAGTAAGACCCCATCTCTAAAAATAAATAAGTAAGAAAACTTAGCCTGTGTGATGGTGTGCACCTGAAATCCCAGTGCATTGAGAGGCTGAGGCAGGAGGCTCAACTGAGCCCAGGAGTTCAAGGTTGCATAGACACAGGGTATCACCACTGCACTTTAGCCCGGGCAACAGAATGAGACCCTATCACACAGACACAGAAAGTGATGTATGTGAAAGCACACCTAGTTCAGAAGGAAGACAAAAATCTGGAGCTTTCTTAGCTATCAATATATTTATCTTTGTTGTCGTCACACAGGCAGTGATTCTTGAGCACCAATAACTGGAATTTTTGCTCAGTAACTGGATTCTAGTTTGTCACCCTCTTGAGACCAGATTTTTTTTTTTTTTTTTTTTTGTCACAAGTTAATAGAGGCAAGAGACCAGATTTGCTTAAGATAGTATCTATGTCACATTTGCTCCCAAAGGTAAGGCAACTTCTGTGTGACTGAAAACAGAAATCAATCCTTTAATCACTGAGCTTTCACTTAACACCTAATTCATTTTTGGTAGATACATTAAGCCTTCAGAATGAGGGACTATGGACCGGGCGCGGTGGCTCACGCCTGTAATCCTAGCACTCTGGGAGGCGGAGGAGGGAGTATTGCTCAAGGTCAGGCGTTCGAAACCAGCCTGAGCAAGAGCGAGACCCTGTGTCTACTAAAAATAGAAAGATATTAATTGGCCAACTAAAAATATATAGAAAAAATTAGCCAGGCATGGTGGCGCTTGCCTGTAGTCCCAGCTACTCGGGAAGCTGAGGCAGAAGGATTGCTTGAGCCCAGGAGTTTGAGGTTGCTGTGAGTTAGGCTGATGCCATGGCACTCAAGCCTGGGGAAGAGAGTGAGACTCTGTCTCAAAAAAAAAAAAAAAAAAAGAATAAGGGACTAAAGCAACACTGTTAATGAATGTGCTGGTAAATTTGTTTTACCTTTAGTGTGTTCTACAAGAAAAAAATATCTCATAGTAGGTGTTCAAAAAGGGTTGGGTTGTAGAGTCAGAAGATGAGGTTCTCTTCTGGCATGGACTTGCCATGTGACCTTTGGCAGAGTCATTTGACTTCTTCTGGGTCAGTTTCTCATTTTAGAGGTTGGAACAGAAGGTGCCTCAGAGGCTGACCCCAGGATGGTGGGGATGCTGAGCCAGATGCCAGTTTCAATCACAGCAGTTCTTCTATTGGGTCTCCATTTAAGATTTTATTTGGGGGACGGGGGAGGGGGAATAATCTGCAGCTTTAAAAAGTTTTTCATGTAGAGAAAATAGTGAGTTTCTAAAGACTTCTGCCTCTAAAATACAATAATTATAACGAGCCAGTTCCCCATCAGCAAGGATGTACTGAGTCCTGACATACATCCAACACTATATTTATACGTTTTTAAGTTGGAGTCTGAAGGTAAAAAGGGAAATGAGGAACTATGGATTAAGATGGCCCAGAACATAAAGTCAGAAGTTTGGGGTTTTGGTCCCGGCTCTGTGACCCTGGCTTCAGTTTCCTCATCTGAAAAGGGCCACTGATACCTGTCTCTCCAGATTTTACAGAAATATAATGATACATGTATAAGTACAATATAAAGTAGGAAAGAGCCTATGCTTTAAAAATTTTGACTTAAAATTCTGGGTCTTTCTAATGACTTAGATGTAGTACTACTTTATTCTAGGATCATGGAGGAGAGATGACAAATATGGAAAAAACTGGTTGCTAAAGAAAATCATTGCAGGTATTAAGGCTGTTTGTTAGAGTGGACACTCTCTTCAGATAGAGATATGATTGAGGCTGGACTCCATGTTTTCAAAAACTATCGAGTACCTACTATGAGCCATGCACTGTTCCAGGCACTGGAGATACAACAGTGACCAAAACATAAAAATCCGTGCACTTGGGTTTGCCTTTTTCTTTTTTTTTAGAAAAAAATATATAGTCTTTTATTTTTTTATTTTTCACCTTATATTTAGTTCATGCATGGATTTGCATTGTAAATCATTTTTTTTGGTCAGGTCTTCTGTCACAAGGACATGAATCTGTTTTGTGTGAATGTCTTTTCCCTACTTGGGGGTGAAGTTAGCAGAAGGACTCCTGTCAATTTTATACTCTGCTTGTCACAACATAGCCTTTAAATGGCCTCCCTTCCATAGCCCATTTGCTGGTGGATGAATCATGTCCTAGTATTAAGATTTTGGCTAATGCTTTTGGCATGGAATATTCTTTGGGGTTTGGCCCTTTTATTTTGATCCGGAGACATGACTATAGATACCAGAAGATTAGAGAGCACAATTTGTTCATACGTTTTTTGCCTGTTGGTTAGTATCTCATTATTAGCAGTAGCCACTGTTTCAGCAAAGGTTCAGGCCCCAAAAAGGAAGACAGACAGGACATAACAGATGTATCTTTGCTCATGTATCTAGCATGAGAAAAAGTTACCTTTAAAATTGTCAATGAATATTAATACTTTTAGTTTATATACCTAATTTTTTAATATTATTATGATATGGTATGACTTTAATATAATATGACTTTGTACCAGTTCTCAAGGACTGAGTTATTAAAGTTCAAAATACCCTTTTAAATTTATTTCTGGTGTATGCTAGTATTCATTGGGAGGAAAAAAAAAACAAAAAACGTACCAATGGTAATATCTTGGGATGGTGGGATTATTGGGTAGTTTTTATTTATGTCTTTCCCCAGTCCCAGCAAATAATGACCATGTTACCTATATTATCAGAAGAAATAAATTATTTAAAAAATCTTCATTCTGTATAGCATAGGCATTAAGTGGTATTAAATGAACTTTCTTAGATTTTTAGTATAAAAGGTAATTTCTTAATATTCATGGGAGAAGAATAAACATAATGTGTTATTGAAAGAATGCTGAACTAGGAGTCAGAAGACCTGGATTCTGGTTTCCATTTTGCTTGTTAGTCACTGTGTGACCTTATGCAAATTCTTACTCTTTGAGCCCAGTGTCTCCACTTACAAAATAAGTGAGGTGTGCTCTGGATTTCATAAGAACCTCCTGGCTCTGAAATTCGTATTTTCTTGAAGTATGTGTTACCCCCAAATTGATCTGGTAGTCAAGAATGTTGACATAAAACCTTCCAGATCATCCAAGAAAAGTCCAGTGTTTGAGCTAAAAAGTATCTTTTGCTTGACATCTTTGTTTGACAATGCATATTCTTAAAATAGACTTTGAAAATATATAGTACTTAAATTCTCAGATCAAAAGTAAAAAACTGGGCTGAGCGCGGTGGCTCACACCTGTAATCCTAGCACTCTGGGAGACTGAGGCGGGAGAATCACTTTAGGTCAGGAATTCGAGACCAGCCTGAGCAAAAGCAAGACCTTGTTTCTAATAAAAATAGAAAATATTAGCTGGGCATGGTGGTGCATGCCTGTAGTCCCAGCTTTCGGGAGGGTCAGGCAGGAGGATCACTTGTGCCCAGAAATTTGAGGTTCTTGTGAGCTAAGCTGATGCCACAGCACTCTACCAAGGTGACAGCAAGATTCTGTCTCAAAAAAAAAGTGAAAAACTGAATGTTTAGGTTTTCAAATCTGAGATAGCTTGCCACATGGAGCTAATATGTGAGAAAAGTGTTCCTGTCATGTTCCTGAATATATCTATGCAGATTTGTAGCATTGTCAGCTGTCAGCATGGTTTCATCTTCATCTCCACTGTTTGGTGTATGTGGTTTAATTCTATGCATGACATTTCTCTGTTGATATTAATACAGGTCTCTCGGCTGCTGGGGGCATTCCACAACCCAAAACAGGTGACCAGAGGTTTTGCTGGTGGTGTGAGTATAATTATGTCTTTTATTTTTTCGTTTTAGAAGTTTCTCAAGAAAGATGCTCTAATACATTTATTATCTAGCATTTTATCTCCATTTATTTAAAACTAGGGAAAATTGGCCTTATAATGTGTATTGAAATTATTAGCTAACATGCACAAATCTATTAGATCACTTGCATCTGTAAAAGAATTATATTATAGCCATCTATGTAAACTTATTGCATTAATATCTTGGAGGAGCCATGTTAAAAATAGATAGAAATGCCACTTGTGTCTGTTATTTTATTTCAGTCTCCTTTTGGTGAGATAGTTTTTTTAAAACTAGTACAAGTTGAAAGAAAGTTGTTGAGAAGCTTCAAAACCTGCTTTGCATTTTTATTTTGTGAGCTTCCCTAAAAACAGTAGATTGATTGCCAATTGGGAATGCTTGAAACATCTATAAGCCCTGTAGGCTTATACAGTCATTATAGAGTCTCATGTTAGTGGATCATCTATTGCTCATTAAATCTGCTGCTTTTAGAATTCCCAGCATTGGATTTCTGTGCTTTCAAAGCTGATACCACATTATTGGAACATTCTAAGACTGTGGGTCAGTGACTTCCTATTTGTTTTTGTTTTACCCCCTATTTATGGGAATCTGATTTGGATTTCATAATTCCTGTACTCCCATATAACTTCTTAGGCCATGAGGAATTTATTAGCCCATAGTACATTTTTTCCCCATTTACTTCCTATACTGTGGAAGAAAAGTATTAATAGATTTTCTGGTAGTTTGATGACATTCATTATTACATATTGGGAAAACAGGAAGAAGTAGCCAAAGGGTTCTTTTGACTCCTCTTATGCAAAAGAATGTGGAACAAGGCTTATACTTCAACTGAAGGATAGCAAAGCTAGCATTTCAAACGCATTCCTAAAGCTGATGAAATAATCATTGCTCTCTACTATAGTTTAATTTTCAGGCTTTTCGTTAAAAGAAAAATATTAGCCTGGTAAAGGAGATTATTTTTGAAGAAATAAGAGGAGATACTAATTTTTACAAGGGTTTCTTCAATTGTACAGAAAAATTCAGAAATAATTAGTCCACCTGTCCAAGGGATATCATTAGAAGGGAGAGTACCAGGAAACTTGAATTAGTGATTTTTAAAAAATGTAGCTCAAGCAACTGGAACTGAAAAAGGCCAGGAGCCATTGTCTGGGCCAAACTCCTAGGTGGGAGAAAGTCCCCAAATAATAAAATGTATAGTTCTCAAATGGAGAGAGGAGGTCTGAAAATTATCTTACCTCATTTAAATCCTCTGATCTTTTCCCCTTCCATATTTTTCATTTGCAATGCTGGTTTCATTTTGCATGAAGCCTTTGAAAGAAGTCATTGATGTTATATTGTAAATGTACTTACTGTCATTCTGAATGTGACTCGGGCTTTGCAGGTATGATCACATATACTATTCTTACAAATCAACTTTGCTGAGCTTATTTAGATTACTCTTATCTTAAAGGAGTCAATTTTATAGAGAAACAAAAAAAAAGGAGGTTTCTCTCTTTGATGTGAAGTCTGATTTTCTCTGAGTACTACAGCAGACCTCAGTGATATTCTGGAAATGTATCTGAAAGTATTTTGTAAGTCTAAAGAAGTTGCACAAAACACTTTTTAGGATCAATTGGAAAGGAAAGCACTTGCCTTTATGAGAAACTGTCTAAATTTTAGGTAGAGAACATTGTTAATATTTTTTGCTGTCTCTGCCTTTAATGATTTGAATTAATTGGTCTTTGTATAGCTTCTCTGAAAAGAAATATCAGTTGGGAAGTCTACTTGGTAATCTAATTTATAAAGAACATCATTTGAATTCTTTTTAAACCTTTGAACTCAGGTAAAGAGTAGAATTGTGGAATCTCTTATCCATGGATTCCTCCCTCCCTTCAATGATCCTGGGGGAGGTAGGGCTGTTTTCTTAACAGCATTTGAATCTTTTTGAGACACCCCATACTGTGGATTTCTCTGTCAATAATATTCTTTTTTTAAATTTTCAAAAATAAGTTCTTATTGTCTTCTTTGGTGATTTCTTATATTCAGGTTCAGACAGTAACTTTAATTCCAGGAGATGGTATTGGCCCAGAAATTTCAGCTGCAGTTATGAAGATTTTTGATGCTGCCAAAGTAAGTGGGCTTAAAAAATATGTTTAGCAATAATTCCTTGAAAAGTTTTCTTAGCCACTTGGATTCTGTGAACTCTTACAATGAATTATACACATTTCTATAAAAGTTGGTAAGGTCTGTCATTAAAATCCACAGATTGTTACTTTAACAGCATGTGTCTCAGGGCTGCTTGCTATTGCCATTGTTGATAGTTTAAGCTGTTACTTTGACATCAGTTACATATAAAGTAATGAAAGCAATACTGCAGTGTTTGTGGCTCTTTGAGCCCTGCTTGGGTTTAGGGTCTTTGAAATCCTTCCAAATTACCTCATTCTACCTTTTTGTCTACCTCATTCTACCTTTTTGCAAAAAGAGAATAAAATCAAACAACTATATAGGAGCTTTTGAAAGAATCTTTAAAAAAACCTTCTGATATATTATCAAAAATGAGGTGTTATTGCTTCTAACAGGTAGATATTTTTAAATATTTTTGTTTTGGGGATTTAGGGCACTTGGCCTTTGTTTGACATGATGCTTTGTTGTTATTTACAGTCGTTAGGTGAAATAACATGTAAGATTAAATCAGTGATGGTTATGACACCAATAGCTATAAGTTGAAGAACGAAATTTATTTAAACTATATGAACATTTTTTGTCTATATGAGTTTCTAATTGAAACTGCTACAGAGGAGATGATATTCGTCAAGTGGCAGATTCTGCACGGGAACTGCAGTATGATTGTTTACTCGGTTGTAAGCTCCTTTTGAACAGCACTGTATCTTACCCTGCGCTTCTGTTCATAGAACATGCTCAGTGTGCTGGCTGTCAATGTTGCAAACATACATGAAGGATGTAGGTTGAAAGAAGGGGGACACTATACCTTAAACTGGTACCTTCATAGATTATATAATATTTGTTTTCTAAAATAGCTTTATTGTGATATAATTCACTCATTTAAAGTATATGTTTCAATTCAATGGTTTTTAATATATTCACAGAGTTATGCAATCATCATTGAAATCTAATTTTAGAACATTTTCATCACCCAAAAAGAAATTCCATCCCTCATAGCAGTCAGTCACTCCTTGTTCCTCCTCCTACCCACCCCTCACCCATTTCTCTGCCCAGCCCTAGACAACTAACCAGTCATCTACCTTCTGTCTATATAGATTTGCCTGTTCTGGGCATTTCACATGAATGGAATCTTATAATACATGGTCTTTTATGACTGGCTTCCTTCACTTAGTATGTTTTCAGGGTTCATTCATGTATCAGCACTGTGTAATGTTTTCTATGAATCATATTTCTCTGCTTCTTGTGATAATTTAATTATAGCCACCTTAAGAGTCCTTGTGAAAAAAATAAGTGGGCAGGTGGTGGCTAGGAGTGATGGCTGGGTGTGTGTAATGTGGTAAAGAGGAGAATGACCTCTCCTCTTGCATGCCAGGAACTTTCTGGACCTTCAGTGTACCTGTGTTTACCAGTTGCATCCCAAGTTGAAGAAGTTTGTTTATCATCATAATGTGAATGTCAGTCTCACTTAAGTCTTTCCAGCTCACTGTGCTCTGTGGTGGCATCTAGGCGCCTATTCAGTGGGAGGAGCGGAATGTCACAGCCATTCAGGGACCCGGAGGAAAGTGGATGATCCCTTCAGAAGCCAAAGAGTCCATGGATAAGAACAAGATGGGCTTGAAAGGTAGCATTGGAGGGAGACGATGGTTATGATTTATTTCTGCCACAGGTGTTATATTTTTGAAAGTTTATGCATTTAAGCTAAATAAGGCCTGGGCCATGTGGGATGATGGTGAGGATTAGATAACATCAAGCACATGATCTTAATACAATGCTTGGTCCTCAGGAAGTTGTCAAAATGAGAAATGCAGTTAATGTTCCAGAAAGCTTCCATGAGGAAATTTCCTCCTTCCTTTGATGGAAAGGGTGAAGTTAGAATACATTTTGCAAAGTAGCCCAGGTGGCTTGGTAGGTCACACACAAGACCAGAATGCATTCTGTTGTCATCTGGGTATTCTTCTTTATTACAGGCCCTTTAAAGACCCCAATAGCAGCCGGTCACCCATCTATGAATTTATTGCTCCGTAAAACATTTGACCTTTATGCGAATGTCCGACCATGTGTCTCAATTGAAGGCTATAAAACCCCTTACACGGATGTAAATATTGTCACTATTCGAGAGAACACGGAAGGAGAATACAGTGGAATTGAGCATGTGGTATGTTCACCTCAGATACTTCAGATACTTCTGTTGCTTTCTGTGCAGTTGGGACAGTTGTTCAAACTCCCAGTGGAAAATATCTCCCAAAGACAGATTGTTTTTACCTCTGTGAGGAGTTGTGTGTGTTTGTCTTGTTGCTGAGTCTCTGGCCAACAATGCTCCAGTAGATACCAGGAGGATCAGGGTGTTGGTGGTTCAGGACACCGGCCTGGGAATACATTTTTTGAATTTTGATTTTGAATCTCCTACTTCACAGGTATACTCTTGGGCCAGTGACCATCCCTGTACTTCAGTTTTCCTTATCTGTGCAGTGGAACTTACAATACCTTCCTCATGGGGCTAGGGTTAATATAAACCCCATTGATATACTGTGTGGGTGATGCTAGCCATGCTAGCTGGCACTGTATAAGCATGCCACAGATGACACCATCTGCACACCACCAGCTGTCTCAAACTGAGTTGTTGCCATAACCTTTCCAGTGAAGTGATTCTTCCTCTCTTTGAGATCGTTGATGGAGTCGTGCAGAGTATCAAGCTCATCACCGAGGCGGCAAGCAAGCGCATCGCTGAGTTTGCCTTTGAATATGCCCGAAACAATCACCGGAGCAATGTCACGGCTGTGCACAAAGCCAACATCATGTGAGTACCTGCAGGGGCTGGCGCCCTGCCTTGCTTTATTGTGGGGAGAGCAGTGACGGAGCCTCCCTTTTTTCTCACCAGCTCGGTCATTGATTCCTGATATCTCTGGAAAAGAACCTCGTGACAATCAGAGAGTCTGGCATTTCTGTCATCTCCTTTCTGTGCTTCACTGGGTGAATGACAGGAGCAAATGAGGAGGGGCAGGAATTCAGGTCTTGGAAATTTCAGGAGGGGACCGAGGGTTATCAGAGAAGGAAGCTGGAGACTCTGGGTCCCCAGATACTGTGGCCAGCAGCCACATTAAGAAACAGGTTTCCTAACAAGAAAAATGTTGAACATGCAAAATAATAAAGTAATTTAAATTAAGTTAACCTTTTAAAGCAAGTTTAATAATATTAATGCATATTTCTTAGTTCTTGCTAGATAACACTATAAAAATATAGTCTTTAATGATCAAACTATTTCCATGCTTTTGCTCTTTTATGCTTTAAGAAGGGTTCCAAAACATTTTCAACTTGCAATTTATTAACTACCTAAGAAATAATTTTACTGTAATTGAAATCAGACACCTTGGCTTCTGGAATTTTAATTTCTTGAGCTTACTTTACTTCTTTGATTTGATTGTCTTCTTTATGCAAGTCTTTGTTCTCAGCAGTTTTTATTTGATTAAATACAGGCGGATGTCAGATGGGCTTTTTCTGCAAAAATGCAGGGAAGTTGCAGAAAACTGTAAAGATATTAAATTTAATGAGATGTACCTTGATACAGTATGTTTGAATGTAAGTATATATGCACTTATCTGCTACTTTTTATGGTGAATAGTATGTGTGTACTGTGCAGTTTTTGATTGCTAAATACACAAATGTATTCCTTATAGATGGTACAAGATCCTTCCCAATTTGATGTTCTCGTTATGCCAAATTTGTATGGAGACATCCTTAGGTGAGTCTGACTGCATTCTTTTTAGTCTATGGTTTATTTATAAAGATTCCTAAAATATAGCTTAAAATTTTCAATCAAGTATTTATAAAGTATAGCATTTATTATAAGATATGAGTTGAATTTTAACAATTCAAGTGGTGATATCAATTATTACATGTTGGGCAGGTTGTTCGTTTATTTGGAAATCGATGCTGGGCTATTTCTGCCTATAATTAGTTCACTCTTCCTGTTTTTCAGATATTTTATTGATTTATTAATTTCAATGTTTTGTTTTGTATAGCTAGGTAGATGGATGGTCATTTATAAAATTTTTTATAACTTTTGACATAATTTCAGACTAACTGAAAAGCTGAGAATAGAACAAAGAATTTCCTTACACTCAGCACCCAGATTCCCCAGACATTAATTAACATTTCACCACATGTACTTTGTTACTTCCCTGCTTTCTTTCTTTTCCCTTTCCCTCTCTTCCATCTCTTTCCTTCTTCTTCCTCCTCATCCTCCTCCTCCTTCTTCTGCCCTGTCTCTCTCTCCTCCCTCCCCTCCTACCCCCAACCCGGACATAAGGTGCTGGCTAAATGGTGATTTTTTTCTAGGCCTGTCATTCCTTCTACATTTATTGTTGGCAGTCTACCGTAAGGATAAGATCTTCTTGTTTATTTATTTGTTTACTTATTTATCCATGTCACTATAGGCTCGTGGTATTCTATTTTATTCAGTGGTATATCCATCACTATTATCATTTATATTGATACTCAAGTTACCCCAACTTGGCCAGTGGGGATCCCTTCACTGTCCCCTGTGTCCTTTTGACAGGGCCCTTAATTCTTTGAGCTCCTCCTTGCTTTCTGGCCCAGGTTGATGCTCCAGCCTCATGTGTAATTTCCTAACCTTAGCCCTGGAATCAGCCATTTCTGCAAGGAACCCTGGATCCTTTTAGTGGAGAATGGTATTTCAAAACTAAAATCTGGGTGCTAGGTGAGATGTTTTATTTCTCAAAGTATCCTTTGAAATGTGTTTCTGTCCCTAGTGACCTGTGTGCTGGATTAATTGGCGGTCTTGGTGTGACACCAAGTGGCAATATTGGAGCCAATGGGGTCGCAATCTTTGAATCGGTAAGGACCTTGACACCTAAAGTAGAATTCAGGTCAGAAAAGCATGAGAACTCAGGAGGAGTTATCTGTATAAATATGTTTTAACTCTTGAGTTTTTCAAATTGTAAAAGAAAACGGTGCTTTGTTTTTTTTTTATATAAAGCATGGTTTGTTCCTTCATTTCCCTCCAGATATTTCTTTATTATGTATACTTCCTTCCTCATTAAGATACTTTACCAAAAATTGACTAGAAAAGATTGTTGGTCCATATTTTTATACTTCTCGTAGGCTTCATTTCTAAGATCTGTGTCAGATGAATTGCACACAGTAGCTTTCAGTAAATATTTCTTCTTAGAGAGCAATTAGTTCTTGTCTCCCTCCTGAGGCTGAAACTTTTCCTGGTGCACAGGTTCACGGGACTGCCCCAGACATCGCAGGCAAGGACATGGCCAACCCCACGGCCCTCCTGCTCAGTGCTGTGATGATGCTGCGCCACATGGGACTTGTTGACCATGCTGCAAGAATTGAGTCTGCCTGTTTTGCTACAATTAAGGATGGAAAGGTAATGGTAAACTTGACTTTCTTATGCTGGGTAAAAATACATTTCTTCCACATGTTTTATCTGTGTGGCAGGGACAGATAATAGTTCTCAAGAGAGCCAAGGATTTGATGTTGAACAAGGATGCTTACTGTGGGCTCCCCTATTGAACTGGATATGCGTGCACATGTCTGTGTTTTCTGAGGATCAAATGTTCGTCCAAGAAAGCTTAAGCACTGAGCAGAGACATCAGTGTGCAGTGGAAAGCAGTGGTTTGGGAGCCAGAGTCATGTGCAGGCCCAGTTATCCTGTTGTTAACTGTGTGATTATGGCCAAGTTTAGTAATATTTATAGGCAGCTTTTTCCTCCTCACAACAGACATCTATTGAATGTACATTATAAGGTGTGAAAAATGTAATAAAATGATGAGTAAGATAAGGTCCTGGGTCTCAAGAGTCTTGGAATCTAGTAGCAGATACAGATGTGGATGTGTCTATGGTACAATATTCTTATATGTTATACTATCTGCATTTATAATACAAAAGCAATACAGAAGTTGTATAAAAGTAATAATCATGGGGGTTTTTTGTTGTTTTTTTTTTTTTTTTGAGACAGAGTCACCCAGGCTAGAGTACAGTGGCATCATCATAGCTCACAGCAACCTCAAACTCCTGGGTTCAAGCAATCCTCCTGCATCAGCCTCCCAAGTAGCTGGGACTACAAGCACATGCCACCATGCCTGGCTAATTTTTTCTATTTTAGTTGCCTAGCTAATTTTTTTCTGTTTTTAGTAAAGATGGGGTCTCACTATTGCTGATCTTGAACTCCTGACCTCAGGTGATCCTCCCGCCTTGGCCTCTCTGAGTACTAGGATTGTGGGCATGAGCCACCACGCCTGGTCAATGGCTAGTATTAATTGAATACTTACATGATTTTAAGTTATATATATATATATATAATCTCAGCAAATCTTTTCTACTACTCTGTGAAGTAGATACTATTATTAATCCCATTTTATCAATGAGGAAACTGAGGCACAGAGAGATTAAGTAATTTGTCCAAGGTCTCATAGTTCCTAATGACAAAGTTGGTGTTCACACTCATTCCAGCTCTTACCTAACAAGCTTCACTGCCTTCATAGCAGTCGTGGCCTGTGGAAGGAGTGTGGTGGATTATTCTCAAAGTGAGGGGGGTCAGAGGAAGTGATGGCTTCACGAGTCTGGGCCTCAAAGATCCCTCTGATCCCTAATTTGACATCCTTTTTTAAAATTGTTAAAAATATATATATACACAGACACACAATTTTCCATTTGAGCCATTTTTAGATATACCGTTCAGTAACATAGAGTATTATTATGTCATCATCACCACCAATCGTCTCCAGACCTTTTTCATTTCCTGTACTGGAACTCTGTCCCCATTAAACAATAACTCCTCCTTCCACCTCCTCCCAGCCCTGGCAACCACCGTTCTACTTTCTCTCTCTATGAATTTGACTACTCTAGGTGCCTCACCTAAGTGAAGTCAGACAGCATTTGTCCATAGTGTCTGGCTTATTTCACTTCGTATAATGTCTTCAAAGTTGGCTCCTTCTTTTTAAAAAAATTCTGTAACTTGAAATTAAATCTTCTGGCCAAAATGCAAGAAATCCAGGCTTGTTTTTGACAGCCTTATAATTACAATACATTAGAGGGCATAAGATTTCATTTTCATTCTGAAGCTATACTTGGAAAGTTATACTCTGGAGCCTAGCAGAGAGGTACTTGAATGACACAGTGGGCCCTTTGAATTATGTAAGGTGGGAAAATAAAGACAATTAAATATATTGAGGTCTGTTTTCAGTAAAGAGAGGATAAACTGTCAGAACAGTTTGGTTGTATGGATGACTTTCTTTCCTAAAGAGGGATGTTTAGGCCGGGTGTGGTGGCTCACACCTATAATTCTAGCACTCTGAGGGGCCGAGGTGGGCAAATTGCTCAAGGTCAGGAGTTCGAAACCAGACTGAGTAAGAACAAGACCCTGTCTCTACTAAAAAATATAGAGAAATTAATTGGCCAACTAAAAATATACATAAAAAATTAGCCGGGCATGGTGGCACATGTCTGTAGTCCCAGCTACTCAGGAGGCTGAGGCAGAAGGATTGCTTGAGCCCAGGAGTCTGAGGTTGCTGTGAGCTAGGCTGACACCACAGTACTCTAGTCGGGGCAACACAGTGAGACTCTGTGTCAAAAAAAAAAAAAAAAAGAGGAAGGTTTCAGAATTAGTGATTTAATTCTGTGGTATTTAGTATTTGTTTACCAGCCACCAAAAATAAATCATAGTCTTAAGTTTTTTCACCTTTAAAAATTCCCCAAGGACTTTATGAAACCTTTGGTTTAGATTTGCTTTCAGTTAAGTGTCCACAATCAGCCAATTTTTCTTAGGGTCTATTATATGAACAAGGAGAAAACTTCCCTGCTTCCCTTTCCATCGAGAACACCTCGTTCTTTTTCAGGGTGTTCTGTGTACATTATCTTATTGGATTTTCCTGATCCAGGGGGTGGGCAGGTGGGGGGTAGCACTTCACTTTGAAATGAGGCACTAAATGAAAGTCAGAGCAGCCCAGTAACTTCCTTGGCTGGCAATCTCCTTGAGGGCTTTAAATAAAATTACCTTTGGTTTAGTTTAGCATGTGAATACATTTTTATTTTCCCTTTTTCCATTTCTCAGAGCTTAACAAAAGATTTGGGAGGCAACGCAAAATGCTCAGACTTCACAGAGGAAATCTGTCGCCGAGTAAAGGATTTAGACTAATGCTTCTACAAATGGTATTCATGTCAGTCACTCCAAATGGACACCATATAAACCTCTATTTAGAATACCTACCATTACATATGCATTTGGTCTGCTTGTTTCTTGACAGAGTACATTTTTAGATCTGGCCTTTTCTTAACAAAATCTGTGCGAAGGATGCAGGTGATATCCATAGGCCTGCTTTCAAAGGACTTTTTCCAAGTGCTTGTGTTATTTATTAAATGTCTATCCGATAAACATTTTTTTGTAAACTCTAAGTGAACTGTATCATTTGCCATTCTTAACTATTTTTCACTTCAGTTAAAATAGTTTTTCCTCAGCTGTAAATATCATGATACAGAATTAATAAGAAAAATATCTAACTTTTTAAAGAAAAACCGTATGTTCCTTGGTTTATGAAAAACAATGGAAATAGAATAGGATATCGACATGATAGCACAAGAGGACACTCTTATAAAACAGGCACAAAATAAATTTCCTGGGAAAGTGCAAATCAGAAACAGTGAATGTGGTATATTTCCTGATGATGTGGAAAATAGAGACAGATTTGTCCTTTAAATGAATTACTGAGTATGAATAAAAACTTCAGATCCAAGAAATATATAATGAAAAATGTAATTTTTGTTAATAAGATATAGGTAATATATTAGGTACAAATACACATGCATTGTGTGTTCAGTTATTTTGTTATCTTGAGATTTTAATACTCTTGGAAGAGCTTTTCATAATGCAGAGGAGCAGTACCTCCTTTTTTCATTGGACACATTTTAAGCGTCATGAGTTGTCACAGCCTCTGAGCCCCTGTCCTTGATGCTCTGAGTCAGGCCAGGGAAGCTGACTGTGTTGTGCATTTATTCTTGCATTTTGCTATCTGGAAATAGACCCACTTCAGCTGGTACTGCTAGGTATGATACTGCTGAAAGACCTAATCACATGTATTTTTGTTGCAGTTGAGGAACTTGGGATGCTGGCTATTAATTTTATGTTTCAGTGACTGCCCTTTTAGGAAACCAAAGCACTGCCCTCCACCTCAGCTATAGCAGCACAGAATGACATTGCAGAGATGAGCTGACTCGCCCAAGTTGATTTACAAATTGCACCACCTCAGGGCTTGGGCTTGAGCTCAGCTTCTGACCTTCAGGCACCTCCTACCCACCCTCCCCTCCCCTCTTCTGCAGCATGATTTTTCTTAATCTTCAGATACAAGTCACTATTTTCATGAACTATTACCTCTTGGCCCCACACCAAAGGCAACTCATGGCCTCCCTTGGCCCTGTGAAACATTGCAAACCTGTGGCAGTGTACCCAGGTCTCAAGGGGATTTCCTAACAGCAACAAATATCCCTGTCTGGGTCATTTTAAGCTTGTAACCAGACTTACAATCTAACATGTATTTTACTTTGTTTAAGCTGCTGCTTCCTCTGTTTTATTGGATTGTGCTAATTATCAGTGGTTCTTGGGTTCAAAATAATAAATAATTCCAAAAATGATTGAGATGAATGCTTTTTCTACCTGTTTTGCTTAGTTGTTCCTGGCCTAGCTTGCTTTTTCTGGTGGAGTGGCCTGGTGGCAACAGGCTAACTCCACAGTTGGCTGCTTTTACTAGAATGCCCCACTTGATACCACCCCCCTGCACCTTTGTTTATTCCAGGGCACTAATGATTACTTATATTCCCATTGCACACAGTCCTGTGGGTTAAATGCCCACTAGTCTCTGGACTGGTCCCATCTGCTCGATTGGCCAAAAAATCAGGTCTTTGTTAACAGTTCTGTTAAAAGGTTTAATATTCAAATTACACATTAAATAGAATCAAATAGGCAGCAGCAATTTTATTAAGCATCAAGTCAGTTGGCATGTGCGTGGTGGAGGAGTGCCTGGTAATGGGATAATAGAGTCAGCAGTGTCCAGCAAGATTCTGAAGTAAATCAGGCCGCTAGGTGAGTTATAACTGTTTGCTTTCCCTGTGGGACACACTAGTAATACCAGCTGTCTCCCCCACTTCCCTCCACAGCCTGCTGCTGGCTGGCCCATTAGGTGAGCTAGCAGTGTGTTAATCTACCTCAAACTAAGGCCAAAAGTTATCTGCGCTTTAGTTCTGGAGAGCTGATCTCATCTATTACCTGAATGAAAAGCAGTACTTAATAGAATTAAAACCATCCACATGTGAAGCTTCTCAGAATTGTCAGCTATTGTTGGCCTAAGACCTGGCAAACAGGAGCCAGTGCCACCCCTCACCTGGTGACCTAACAGGTCTGCCAGAGGAGTGCCCATGCCCAGACTGAAGAGACCCGGGGCTCAGGAAGACACTAGGGAAGCCTGCCATCCATCCTGAAGGAACTTCAAGCATGGCCCCTGGTTACATTTTCTCTTCTTAGTAAAAAGAGTCAATGATATTTTTGTACTTCTCCAAAACTGTGAGCCGCTTCAATTTCATTGTGGGACCTAAAAGAGAAAATGGAAGAAATGAGTGAGGCCCAGGCTCTGAGAATTTTGAGGAGTGTGTCAAAGACCCACATTTCGGGGAGTCCTGCAACTCTGGAATGAAGCTGGACAGTTAGGACAGACAGTAGCCAGCCTCCAAGACAGAGCCCTCCTGGCATTCATGCCCCTTGTGTAGTCCCCTCCTATGTTGTGCCATCGTTGGTCGTGTGGCCCACAGAGAGGAAGCAATGGTGTGATACTGCTGAGAGTTAGGTTATAAAGGACTAAAGTGGTGTAAGCCACGTCCACCTTCTCCTTGACCTACACCCATTCTTGGTCTTTGATCCATTTTCTATTCTGCCCCTTGAATGAATAAATGATTTGAGCAATCAAAAATAAAAAGACTACAGTTTATTCCTTGGGCTCCCTCTTGGATCATTCTGGGGTAAGCCAGCTGCCACGTCCAGAGGACACACGGGCAGTCTATGGAGAGTCCACTGGCCAAGAACAGGTCGCAGGCCAACAGCCAGTGAGGAGCTGAGGCCAGCCCACAGCCACATGAGTGAGCGTAGGGTGGCCCTCCAGCTCCACATGCCTGCTGGCCCAGCCCACACTGACTGCAGCCTGAGGGGGGACCCGAGCCAGAACCACCCACCTCAGCTGTTCCTGAGATGCTGACCCACAGAAATGTAGATAGTAAATGTTTCCGGTCAGGCTGGTGGGTCACACCTGTAATCCCAGCACTTTGGGAGGCTGAGGCAGAAGGATCACTAGAGCTCAGGAGTTCAAGGCCAGCCTGGGCAAGAGTGAGACCCCGTCTCTACTAAAAATAGAAAAAGTAGGTGCCATGGTTGTGCACCTGTAGTCTCAGCTACTCGGGAGGCTGAGGCAGGAGGATCACTTGAGCCCGTGAGTTTGAGGTTGCAGTGAGCTACGATGACACCATTGTACTCTACCCAGGGTGACAGAACAAGGCTCTGTCTGGAAAAAAAAAAAGGATATTGAATCCCCCTCTCCACTCCCCACTTCATATAAAACAAATAAACATTTTAAGCTGCTACATTTGGGGATAATGTGTTACACAGCAACAGATGACTAATACATCATGTCTATTTTTGTGAAAGTTCCTACAATGTTGGACATTATGCTTTTTTATGTGTGTGTGTATGTGTGTGTGTGTGTGTGTGTGTGTTGTTTTGGGGTTTATTTTTTAAAGAGAAGAGGCCTCATGCTGTTGCCCAGGCCTGAATGCAGTGGTGGGATCACAGCTCACTACAACCTCTCACTTCTAGGCTCAAATAATCCTCCTGCCTCAGCCTCCCAAGTAGCTGGGACTATAGGTGTGCACCACCATACCTGGCTAACTTAAATTTTTTGTAGAAATGAGATCTTGCCATATTTCCCAGGCTGGTTTTGAACTCCTGGCCTCAAGCAATCCTCCAGACTCAGCCTCCCAAAGTGCTGGGATTACAGGCGTGAGCATCCATGCCCAGCTGCCATTATGCTTTGATGGATTGTGATGGGGCAAGAGAAAGCCCAAGTTAGGGGAAGCCTCTGCCATGGTCTTTACAAGAGATTTTCACCAAATCTCTTCTCTTGCCCTTGGTTTCCCCCCTCTAAAGCGAGGTTGAAAGGGTTCTCATTTGAGGTCCTGGGTAGCTTAAAGTCATTTTTGTGCTTAACTCATTCTTGACTGTGTAACTGGAAACTTCAGAATCAGTCATTACTGTTAACTGCTTAGAGAGGACTCCTGTCTGATTGTGCATTCAGTGTGTTGGCACCAGACAACCAAACAGGCTCCGAGTCTCTGCCTGCAGCTCAGCATTACTGTAGATAGTTGCATCTGGGTTCAGCTTTGTTGGGTTTGAGGGAATCTCACTGGAGAAGCCATTTTCACCTCCACATCCCATGAGCACCACAAGATGCTACAGCTGAGAACCACCTCATCCAACCATCTGAGGTTGCATCAGAGTTTTTTTCTTGTCCTGTGGGCTGTGGTCTATAATGGCCTCATCCCCTTACCTGTCATATGAGTTGACTTACTGAAGATTACTGTAGTCTCCCACCTAGAGCCAGGTGACTCCAACCAGAACACCAGCAAGGCCTTGGTGTTTGACTGATAGTTCCACTGGTTTTAGGAGAAAATGGTCCCATAGTCAAGGCAAAATTAAATGTCCTGTGTTCAAATTAGTAAGTTCTTGCACATATACATTCAGCAGGCTCTACACATTGACAAGCCCATATCCTGAGCAATCAATGTGTGCCCACAAGAAGATAGGTGTCTCCCAAAGCCCTGTCTGTGACCTTCTCCTTGCCATGGCAGCTTCAGAACAGGTGCCTCCCAGGTCCTGCCATGGCCTCTGCCTTCCTGCACAGCCCCTGGAATAGTGAAAAGAAAAAAACCTACCGAACTCTCCACCTGAAATGGAGAAGTCCCTCTCAAGAATGGCCCACTTCTGGATGTGGTAGGGTCGGGCTGCCGCATTCAAGTTGACCCTCTGGATGCCCTCTTCGATGGCCTGGTACACGGCCCCATCCTTCTTCCCCACGATCTCAGACACTGTGGTGGCTTTGCTGCCCACCCTCTGGCAGAACTCCACAGCTTGTTCGGTCAGATTATCAGTTGGGTCAGAGGTGTCTGGGTCCAGAGTGCACTGAAAAGCCAGAGATAAGATGAGGGCCAAGACTCACCCTGTAAGACACAGCCCTGGTCTTGGTGGAAGTCTTACTGCTGCTAATGGTAAGGTGTGAATCATGCCAGCTATGTTTCAAAGAGATGGTTCTAGAATGAGTAGGGTGCTACTGTATTGAGCCCCGTGGTGTGGCGGAAGGAGCAGTGGTTTGGGAATTAGAAGACCTCAGTCATGAAGTCATTATCTGTAGCACACCCTGTAACTCCCACCTCTCTGCTCCCCAGGGGCATGAGCATCTGTGAAGGCAAGGGACAGTGGGGAGCAGCACTTTGTGAGCTGGCATGTACTGGTAACGTCACAGCTGCATACTGGGGACAGAGGGAATCTGCATGTGCTACAACTGTCCCCACAGTGCAGACAGCACTGACTGCACTTAATCCAGAATAAAGCCATGAGACCCAGGTGTGCCCTGGGCCAGACCCCCAAACCCCCACTCCTGGCTGCTCCTCCAGAGCCAGAGTCCCCTGGACACACCTTCAAGGTGAGCAGCATGGACAGGAACTTCCTCTGGTCCCCGATCAGCATGGCATTGCTGACAATGGGCAGCTCCATTTTCACGGCCTCCTCGATGGGCACAGGGGGCACATTCTCCCCTCCAGCTGTGATGATTAGTTCTGGGGAGGCAAGGCCAGGCCCCCGGCACAGGCTGTAGTCCCAATGCCCCGGCTGAACCAAGACCCAAGCTTCAGCAACAGCCTGGGAGCCCAGAAAGCAGGCGTGCTGCTAGAGACGCCCCTTCTCTGGGAGCCAAGAAGCAGTGCCACGCCCTCTGAAGCACTTCACACCTGCTGGGGGCGGTGGCAGGTGCCAGAGGACAGATGCTCACTCAGTGCTCCCTCGCCTCCAGTCATCCGAGACAGCCTGCTCAGATGTCTCATCCATGGCCCCCTTCTGCCAACTCGAGTTCCTCAACAGACCTCCCACCCTGTCCCCTGGATAGCCTGGTGGCTCCTCCTTCTGCCCTTGCTCATAGCCTCCATCGCCATCACTCACACAGCGCTCACCACCACGCTGAGTGCTTCACATACAGTAATGTTTAATCCTCACAACAATTCCAGAAAGAAACAGGCGCTCATTGCTTTGCAGATGAAGAAACTGCAGCACAGAAAGGTCCAGTAACTGGTCCAAGCTCACACGCTAATAAGTAGCAGAACTAAGATTTTAAATCCAGCCCAGTTCCAGAGCCCATGCTTTTATCCGCACTGCTGTGGCACCTCTCACCTTGTTTGTCTGTCCTGCTGGAATACCCCTTCCACTCATTCCCTCCTTCCCACACACTTTGGGAGCTGGCCTGTTCTAGGGCCAGCTCGCTTGCCTCCTTCAGGAAGCCCTCCTTTCATTCAAATGTTTATGGAATGTCGCTGTGCAATGCCAGGTGGTAGGCACTCAGTGTACTGGTCTGCTGTTCTCTGGATGATGGCTTACTTCCAGGCTTGATGGTTGTAAATTCAATAAAATAAAGTGTGTGTGTGTGTGTGTGTGTGTGTGTGTGTGTGTGTGTGTGTGTGTTTGAGAGAGAGAGAGAGAGTGTGTGTCTCGGTTGCCTAGGCTAGAGTGCAGTGGCATCATCATAGCTCACAGCAACCTCAAACCCCTGGGCTCAAGTGATCCTCCTGCCTCAGCCTCCCAAGCAGCTGGGACAACAGGTACATACTAACATGCCTGACTAATTTTTCTATTTTTTGTAGAGATAGGGTCTCCCCGTGTTGTTCAGGCTGGTCTTGAACTCTTGGCCTCAAGCAATCTTCCTGCCTCAGCTTACCAAAGTGCTGGGATTACAGGTGTGAGCCACCATAGCAGCCATAAATAAAATTTTTAAAATTTCTATACTAAAACCTATGCAATACACTACTGAGAGAAAATTTTTAAAGACCTAAGTAAATGGAGGGATGGATATACCACGTTTATGGATTAGAAGAGTTAATATTGTAAAGATGTACATCCTCACCAAATTAATCTGTAGATTTAATGACATCAAAATCAAAATTCCTACCAATTTTTTTGGGAAATTAATACGATGATTCTAAAATTCACAGTGAAATGCAAATGGCCAAGAGTAGCTAAGGTCATCTGGAAGATGAAGACCAAAGCTGTAGGACTTACACAAGCATGTATCTAGCTTTATCATAAAGCTACAGAAATTAAGACACTGGAGTATTGGTGCAAGGATAGGCAAATAGGTCAATGGAACAGAATAGAGTCCAAGAATAGACTTCTCAGAGACAGTCACTTCATGAATGACACAGGTGGCACTGCAAGGCAACAGGGAAAGGCTGGTCTTTTCTATACGTGGTGCTGGGTTACTTGGATATGTATTTGGAGAAAAGGTATCTGGACCCTTACCTCTCACCATACTAGTTCTAAGAGGAGGGCCAACTCTGGTTGCACTGTCTGGCTACTGTCCTCGCTGTACTGGGATGTCCGTCCCCTCACCTGCTGTTGCAACGGGGGACGCTAGGCGGCGCCCGTGCGCCCGGCTGCCCCCGCCGTCGCCGGCAGGGCGCTAGGAGCCCTGCACTCCTGGCCGCGTCCGCAACTCCGTGCGGGTCGGTTAGACCCTCGGCACGCCGCACACCGCCCGCCGGGGTGGTTTCCAGGAAGCCGTTTCCCCACTCGCGGAGCCCCACTATCCCTGGGAAAGCCGGGCCTGATTCCCACGTGGGTGCTGCGGCGATTACACCCACTTAGGCACAGTGAGCAAAGTATCTTTCCACGGAGGAATCCACAACTAATTTCCTGTCTGTGCAAGCAATTTCTCTGAAATTTTGTGTGTCATTTTTAATTTTATATCTAATGTGCATTCTGTTCTTCATATCCGTGTTTGCATGTAAAAATATATATTTATGCCCTCAAATTTTCCAGAAAGATTTGTGTTGTTTAGGGGATTTGAATCCTAGCTTCATCATTTACTAGCCGGGTGACCTAAGGCAAGTTACTCAGCCTGTTTGGATGCCCTCACTGGTAAGTCGGGGTAATATCAGTACCTGCCCCCCAGGAAAGTAGAGTAAGTGAAACGACGCAGTAAAGGTGTGTGACACTGGCGGGGCATGAATAGCGGTGGGAGTCGAATTCCTCCTGTGCCCCACTGTAGTCTCCAACCCCCCCCAGCAGGCCAAGGCACTCACCTTTGAGGCGCCCAGTGATATAGAGGAAGCCATCGGCATCCAGGCGGCCAGTATCACCTGTGTGCAGCCAGCCCTCCTCGTCAATGGCCTCACGTGTCTTGTCCTCCATGTTTAGGTAGCCCATGAAGATGGTGCGGCCCCAGAGGCAGATCTCACCGATGCCCTCTGCATCCTGGTTCACCAGCCTCACCCGGCAGCCTGGCACCACTTTGCCTGAGCTGGCCATGAGGGGGAGGGGAGGTGTGGTCACAGGGGGCTGTCCCCCTAAGCCCAGGATCAGCCTCCACTGGGGAGCCGGGTTCCCAACCTCTCAGTCTTTACTGATGACTAGAAGGTGTCCCCTCTCTGGGTTTTTGTATTTTAATAGGGGACTTCAAGCTGAAAGGTAGAGCTAATTAAAGGGTTTTTGGTGACGGGAGGTAGGGAGGGAGGGAGGAAATGATAATGGTAGAACTTGGAGCCTGTGGTAGGCTGGCGGGGAGGGGAGGTATTTAAGCACAACAAATGATCCTTCAATCACTCCCCAGAGCTGACTGTCTTCCCCACCCACTAGAAGGCTGACCTGGTTACCTCACTCCCACCAAAACCGGACCCTGGGCCATCAGCTATCCTGGAACACCTTCTAATACACCCCACCCTACCATAGGGGTAGGACAGAGGGAAATTGCTCCATCAGGAATCAGGGTACCCCTAGGCTGTTCAGGCTGTTTTCAACTGCAGTCTCACATGACAGAGTGGCAGAGACCACCCCACCAAGATGGCAGTGTTGGCACTCAGGGGCCCCACAACCCAGTGGCCAGGTCTCTGGGATCTGATCAGTGTGCAAAGAGGTGAGAGTCCCCAGGGCACTCAGCAGGGGGCACAGGTGGTGCCAGCAAGGGTACATGGATGTGCACATGTGCAGCAGCCTTGGGCCTCACCTGTAGAGCCGGTAGTTGCAGGGGCTGGACATGAAGTGGGGGCCTGAGGTCTCGCTGAGGCCATAGCCCGCATACAAGCGAATGTTGAGGCCCAGGAAGAAGTGCTGTGTCTCTGCAGCCATGGGCGCCGCTCCATAGAAATTCTTCTGACACTTGGCAAAGCCCAGCGCCTGGCGGACCTTGGCTAGCACCAGGTAATCTGCCAGTCTGGTTGTGAAGGGCTTCAGGTCACTAGTGGGAGAGGGAGAATGGTCCATGGGAGAAAACACACATGTACACATACATTAAAAGAATTGGTAGTCAATGGGGACACATGGGCACGGCCATGCCAGTTGTCTATTCTGATTGTTTGGAGCCAGTGCTGAACATGCTGAATTTTGAATATTGGACCTGCCTTTGAACATGCATGCAAACGTAGGGTGTGTAGGTGATGCACATAGTATGTCTTGAGCCAGGAAGTTAGACAAATAGGTTCAGGTGTGTACAGGTGCACAGGCCACACAGATGCATGCCAGTTTGCACATGCATTACACACATGTGCAGAGACTTGAAGTATGTATTCATGGACACACATGTGTAGAGGTATATGATCCCATTGAAGCCCAGGAATGTTTTGTTCATGCATATCTGTCTGTGCAAATGCAGCTGTGGGTGCACAAATGTATACACGTCTCATGAAACATACTGTTTCACAGACACATGGTAATAGAAACTACTTCCAAATGGAAACCAGGTCAGATTCATGTCACTGACCCTCCCACAGTGCTGTGTGGGAGCTTAAAAGGCAATCAAAAGGGTGTGGGGAGAGAGCCGAATGGCTGCTTGGGATGCTGGAAAGGCTGGTCCCCATCGCTATGGCCCCTTCTCCGGCCCCTACTGAAGTCAGAAGACCTCAGGAGACTGGCAGGAACTTCTCCCAAGGAGGTGACTTCCACCTCAGAGGAAGTGAGTCAGTCCTGCAGTCAGAAGGAAGAGGACACCCAAAGACGGAGTGACTGTCCTCAGCAGGGTCTGGGAGGAGGAGAGGGGCGCAAGCCCAGCCATTGACAGGGCCTCTGCCCGGGGAGCCCGGGACCGCCAGGCCACTGGAGCCGCGGCAAGCCTGGCCTGTCAGACCCATGGTGTGTGCTGGGTGGGACCCAGCCCTGCTGCATCCCCAGGCCTGCTGCCCCTGGGTCCTCTGTACCTGGCAGAGCAGGTGAGGTTCTGCTCCAAGGTCACCGACATAGCCCACAGCAGCATCTTGCGCCGGATGAAGCCAGACTGAGCTGCCACTTCCTGGATCCGCTCCATGATCTTCTCCCACACGCGTGGCACGCCCATGTGGGATGTGGGCTCCACCTCCCGCAGTGTGTTCACCAGGCTCCCCTGTTCACCGCAGGGAGAGGCAGGCCTGCTGGTTCAGGGCCCACCAGGGTCCAGGAGCCCCTCTCACCAGAGTGAGTTGTGTACACACCTCACAGGCATGCCCGTGCACAGATGCTCAGACAGTGCGCGCACACACACACACACTTGCGTGTGACGTGCAGCACATACTGTCGGCTCAGTGGCCGTTGCCTTGCTCTTCTTTGCTGACAGAACCTGATGGCAGTCAGATATCAGGTGGCCAATGCTTCAGAAGCACCTGGGTCCCTTCCCAGCCCTGAGCATGGTGACCCTTCATTAGTCTAACTCAGACATGATAATCCCATTCCCCTAAGCAGCATTTGGTTTAGGAATGGACACGTGACACTGTTTGGGCCACTGATTTGTGGAGTGGGGAAGACTGCTGGGGGGTTTCTTGGAAAGTTTTTCTTACAGTTAAAATAAGGAACCAAAGAACAGGTGTAGTCTGTGAGGATGGGATGCAGGGAGGGGCTGTGGCCGCCTTGTGACCTTTTGTGAACCTACTCTGAGACACCCGTCATCAAGGGTGTTGCAAACCTAGCAAACCATTGTGACTCGACTCTATGTAATGTCATCATTTTCCCTTCTCGTCTGGTCATTTAAGTTGGGCTGTGTTAACTGCACCTGACAGAATTCTGACTGATAAATGCACAGAAAACCAGCACATGCATGAATGTACATGCACACCCACAGACACGAGTACACACAGCGCCCTTGCACACAGACAGGGACAGCCACCCGGTAGAGAGGCAGACAGACCTTCAGAGCGTCAGGCTCAGCAAAGCAGACCTGGGCTCCCCACTGGATGCCTGTCCACAAGTCATAGATCTGAGCGGCAATGTGGCTGAGGGGCAGGTAGCTGACCACCACCTCCTGCTGGACTTCTGCTGGCTGGATGTCACCGGCCTGGCTGCCGTACCTTGCTGTCCACGTGATCTGGAGGACAGGTAGATGGGCCCCAGCAGTGTCCACGAGACAGCCACGGCAGTACTCACAACTGTCGTACTTAGGGCTTCTTCTTTGGGGACCCCCAGAGTGAGTACCCTTCCTGGCATCTCTGGGAAATCCCCAGGACGGGCCTCCTCTCTCCTTCCCCCCCTTCGCTGGCTCAATCTTGACCACAGACCGAGGGGCTGTTCTGCTTATCCCAGCTCCCTGAGCTATACTTGCCAGAGGAACTTCTCCAGGGGCTGTTCAGTTAGGGCCACGGCCCAAATCCACCCACAGCCACCCCGGCCCTGGGCATCTGTCCTACGTTGTCTTGACTCAGCATCACGCCCTTGGGGGTTCCAGTGGTGCCTGACGTGTAGACCAGTGCGCAGCACTGGTTAGGCTGCTGGGCATTGATGATGACATCCAGGGCCTCCTCGGGCACTTCATTCCCCAGCTCCATGAATTCCTCCATCTGTGGCCAGGTGGGGCAGAGTGGGACATCAGGTCAGCAGGGAGGGCCCAGACAAGCCCTGCAGGGCTCCCAGGGCCCCACTGACCATACCGTGTACACATTGGCCATCTTCTGTGGAGGAGGTTCTTTATATATCACTACTGCCTTTAGATGTGGCAAATGTTTCCAGATCTGCATTGATGGGGAAAATGAATCAGTTTCAGCAAGAAGAAACCCTGAAAAGAACCCCATCTCCTGGTGTTAGGCTGCTTGGCAGGCCCTTTGTGGCAAAGGTCTCTGGATTCTGCATCTCTGACCTTTGACCTTAGCAGGACAATTAGCCACCCTTCATGAGAACATGGGTGCAGCAGAAGTGGGGCTAGGAAAGTGGCAGGGAACAACTTCCTACTAAAAGAAAACCACCAAATGACCTGGGGCTTGGCCAAACAAACTATGATCCAGCCACACAGTGGAGTAGTACTATGTCACTGTAGATGAGAGGGACAGAGGTCTACATACTGACATAGAGTGAGTGGTTTCTAGAACATAGTATTAAGGGAAAAAAGGAATGTGTACAATATACATATAATATGCTATCTTTGAGTAAAAAATATTCACAATGTGAATAAATATAAATACATGTGTATATATGCAAACATGCATTTATTTATATTTACAAAAAGGAACACTGGGGCACGTCCAGAAGATGGCGGATGAGAAACACCGCCAGACAGAGTGTCCCTGCAGAAAAGACAGATTCTAGCAGAAATTACAAGAAAGAAGCAAGAAGACGAGCCTACATCGGATGAGGGTCAGAAGGAGGAGTACCTGAGACCACGGGAGACTCCACAGGAGGAGGTCACGGAGGAGAAAGGGAAGCTGGGACCCCCGGAGCAGCCCGGAGACCAGCGGGAAGTGTAGGTGGATATGCCGTTTCCCCTCCCCTGCATCCTGGACTGCTGGTGGGCTCCCCAGCGGGTGGAGAGACCTGCGGACACCAGCCCAGTGACGGCCGTTGCCAGTGAGCGGTAAGCCAGTAGTGGACGCGGCACCAGGCTCCCAACTCCCTCAGGGCACCTCCATGTGCACAGACCTGAGCCACGCGGCAGACGCCATATTGCCTCCTTCTCCCCTCCCCCAACCCTGCCCCTGGCTGCCCAGAGAGGCAATACAGCCACCAGCGAGAGGCACCTACAGGGAACGGGACCTTCCCTTTTGGGGCCCTAGAGTTCCCTAAGGGGAACTCAGACTGTGAGCTCTCTAGCCCTCCCCGGTGCTGTTGGCACGGTGATCCCAGGAGAACGGGGAAGACCCTGAGGTTGAGAGACATAGATCCAGCGTGGGTTCCCTGTGGGTGAATTGGGACTGGCACTGCTCTCCCTGGTGGGGACATAGTTTCAACTCTGGGACCCAGAGGTCAAACCTGCAGACCACATCCCGTGCACCAAGGTCTCGCATTGCCCGGGGCACAGAAGGAATATTTGTGAACAGCCTACTGAGGTGTGTGTGCCTTCAGGGGCAGATCAGCGTCCTAGAGGGCAACTCTCCCCCCAAAGGGAGGCCATGCGCTAGGCACAGGTGGCGTTCCTAAACAGGGAACCTCCCTGCCGGCAGCACAGCCAGGGGAGGCCTGGTGGCGTGTGGTTTGGCCTGCTGGCAGAGGCCCAGGAGTAGCCGCGGGGTTGGGGAGGGTGGAAAGAAGCCAGGCCCACTCCAGACTGCGGGTCTCAGACAGCCCCACCCCCACACGCAGACTCTCTGACTGAGCCGGACCATTCCAGCCCCTCCCTGTCAGCTTTGCCTGGAAGCAGAGAACAGAACTTTGACCCCTGCTAACAACATTGGTGGTGCCTGAGGGCAGGCCTACCCAGCCCAGCTCCGCCCAGACTCTCTCCTAGACCAGCCCTCACTGAAGGGGAGAAAAGGACACACCTCGAAGTCCCAGGGCCCCACCCACCACCTAAGGCACTAGAGTTTTCTCTGCAGGAACAAGAGCTGATAACAGGACACAAAAACAACAGCCTAGCCTGTTCCTCCAAGCAAGCACCACCTACTGACAGGGAGAGCATCCTGCACACCCTTTTTACGACACCTACTGACTCATTATACAAGGAGTGGTCAAATCTCAACCACAGACACCACCTACTGGCTCAGAAACAAAACAAGGCATGTAAATACCCAAACAAAAACCTAAAGAAAAGAAACAACAACTGATCGACATGGGAAGAAATCAGCTAAGGAACTCAGGAAATATGAAGACCCAAATGGAAAACACACAAAGAGGAGCACCAGCCCACTAGAAATGAACACCAACCAAAATCAGGCAACCAAAATGACAGAAGAGGAATTTCGTATGGGGATCATAAGAACACTCACCAACCTGCAAGAACAACTCAATAACCAACACAAAGAAACCACAAAAAGGCTCCAGGATCTGGAAAAAAAGTTCACTAAAGAAATAGACACAATGAAGAAAAGTTTAACCAAACTCCTGGAAATGAAGAATCAATTCAGGGAACTACAAAATACAGTGGAAAGTCTCAAGAACAGGGTAGGTCAAACAGAAGAAAGAATCTCAGAGATTGAAGATAACACCCTCCAATTAAATAAATCAGTCACAGACATAGAGCAGAGAAACAAGAGAAAAGAGCAAAGCCTACAAGAGATGTGTGATTATGTGAAGAAACCTAATGTGAGAGTCATAGGGATACCAGAAGAGGAAGAAGACAACACTCATGGGTTGGAAAGCTATTTGAAGATATAATAGAGGAAAATTTCCCAGGCCTTGCTCAAAATCTTAATATACAAATTCAAGAAGTTCAGAGGACCCCTGGGAGATTCAATGCAAACAAGAAGATGTCATGACATGCAGTCATCAGACTGACCAAAATATCAACTAAAGAGGCCCTTCTAAGAGCTGTAAGACGAAATAAGCAAGTGACATACAAGGGAAAGCCAATTCAAATAACACCAGACTTCTCTAATGAGACTTTACAAGCCAGGAGAGACTGGGCCCCCATTCTCACTCTTCTGAAACAAAACAATGCCCAGCCTAGAATCTTATTCCCTGCAAAACTAAGCTTCATATATGAAGGAGAAATAAAGACATTCTCAGACAAGCAAAGGCTCAGAGAATTAACCAAGACAAGACCACCCCTACAAGAAGTACTCAAAACAGCGTTACACATGGAACATCATAATAATAACCCACATATATAAAAACAACCAAAACCCAAAGATTAAGGGCCAGATATTACAATGGCTCAAGACAGAAATCATAGCAACAACATCCAACCCAACAGAATGAACAGTAATCTACCTTACCTATCAGTTCTCTCAAAAAATGTGAATGGCTTAAACTCTCTACTCAAGAGACATAGGCTGGCTGAATGGATAAGAAAATACAGGCCAA